AGTTAGTTTAATGGCCCAGTTAGGCAGTTTAATGGTCCACTTAGGCAGGCTAATGACCTACTTAGGCAGGCTAATGGTCCACTTAGGCAGGCTAATGGTACACTTAGGCAGGCTAATGGTACACTAGTTAGTCTAATGGCCCAGTTAGACAATCTAATGGCCCATTTAGGCAGTCTAATGAGCCACTTAGGCAGGCTAATGGCCCACTTAGGCAGGCTAATGGCCCACTTAGGCAGGCTAATGGCCCACTTAGGCAGGCTAATGGCACACTTAGGCAGGCTAATGGCCCACTTAGGCAGGCTAATGGCACACTTAGGCAGGCTAATGGTACACTTAGGCAGGCTAATGGCCCACTTAGGCAGGCTAATGGTACACTTAGGCAGGCTAATGGCCCACTTAGGCAGGCTAATGGCCCACTTAGGCAGGCTAATGGTACACTTAGGCAGGCTAATGGTACACTTAGGCAGGCTAATGGCCCACTTAGGCAGGCTAATGGCCCACTTAGGCAGGCTAATGGTCCACTTAGGCAGGCTAATGGCCCACTTAGGCAGGCTAATGGCCCACTTAGGCAGGCTAATGGCCCACTCAGGCAGGCTAATGATCCACTTAGGCAGGCTAATGGCTCACTTAGGCAGGCTAATGACCCACTTAGGCAGGCTAATGGCCCACTTAGGCAGGCTAATGGCCCACTTAGGCAGGCTAATGACCCACTTAGGCAGGCTAATGGTCCACTTAGGCAGGCTAATGGCCCACTTAGGCAGGCTAATGGCCCACTTAGGCAGGCTAATGGCCCACTTAGGCAGGCTAATGGCCCACTTAGGCAGGCTAATGGCTCATTGGATATCCAGTCGTATATTTTCCTACCTAATACATATTAAATATTAAATTAACTTTTTAGACCATGCAAATAACTATGAAATGAAGTCAGATAAACATCAGAGAAATATTATGAAGTTTATTAACCATCTTGAGGTTATCTTGAGATGATTTCGGGGCTTTAGTGTCCCCGCGGCCCGGTCCTCGACCAGGCCTCCACCCCCTAGGAAGCAGCCCGTGACAACTGACTAACTCCCAGGTACCTATTTTACTGCTAGGTAACAGGGGGAATAGAGTGAAAGAAACTCTGCCCATTGTTTCTCGTCGGCGCCTGGGATCGAACCCAGGACCACAAGTTCAGCGTGCTGTCCGCTCGGCCGACCGGCTTCCCAGAATCACCAGAAAACTAAAGAAAATTATTAAGACATCAGAAGGAATAGAAACATTACAAATTTACCCAAATATCTCAAGATTTTGAGGTTTTTGGAACCGGTTTGGGATATATAACAATATGTATACAGAATTTAGCAATGTATATATTAGTTGATCCTGCCTCTCAACCGTCAATCAACTGGTGTGTGGGGGGGGGAGGGTGGGGGTGGGGGATATTACATATCCGGTACATTGGGTCTGCTTGTTAGATTCTATCAATCTCTACGCTCGTTGCTATGCCAACGTGGCTGCTGGATAGGGGGCTCACCATAGCCCGTGCTACTTGCCCCGCTCCTGTGCCAGGTAAGTCCACTACGGGCTCACCATAGCCCGTGCTACTTGCCCCGCTCCTGTGCCAGGTAAGTCCACTACGGGCTCACCATAGCCCGTGCTACTTGCCCCGCTCCTGTGCCAGGTAAGTCCACTACGGGCTCACCATAGCCCGTGCTACTTGCCCCGCTCCTGTGCCAGGTAAGTCCACTACGGGCTCACCATAGCCCGTGCTACTTGCCCCGCTCCTGTGCCAGGTAAGTCCACTACGGGCTCACCATATCCCGTGCTACTTGCCCCGCTCCTGTGCCAGGTAAGTCCACTACGGGCTCACCATAGCCCGTGCTACTTGCCCCGCTCCTGTGCCAGGTAAGTCCACTACGGGCTCACCATAGCCCGTGCTACTTGCCCCGCTCCTGTGCCAGGTAAGTCTACTACGGGCTCACCATAGCCCGTGCTACTTGCCCCGCTCCTGTGCCAGGTAAGTCCACTACGGGCTCACCATAGCCCGTGCTACTTGGAACTTTTTATTCCCAGTAGCTGAATCTAGAACAACATGAATAGGGAAGAGAAAGTGGTGTGTAGTTCCCTTAATATCTGACTACAATTTCAGAAACGAGGTTGATGAGAGACGCTTTTATCTAAGGGCATTAAAACCGAGTACCGAGGCATCCTTTGGGTTAGTAACACTTGGGTAAGGCCCACTTGGGTAAGGCCCACATGGGTAAGGCCCACTTGGGTAAGGCCCACTTGGGTAAGGCCCACATGGGTAAGGCCCACTTGGGTAAGGCCCACTTGGGTAAGGCCCACTTGGGTAAGGCCCACTTGGGTAAGGATCATTTGGGCAAGCATCACCCTCTATTGCCTCGTTATCCTCCCTCTATTAGACTCACTCCCTCTTGCCTATAACCCCTCGGAAACCAGCCAAGCAACACAGCAACACAGATAAAGGCGCCTAAGCCCATCCGAGACCTTTGCAATATCCACATATTGTGTTGGGAGTGAAATTATGTAGTAACCCGTGGAATGCTTCCCATATGTGGATTTTTTTCATCCTAGACACCCTTGATGATGTCCTCTGGTATATGTACTTGGCTAGAGTCCGGTGTTAACACGACTGGTGAGTGTTTCAGACGAGATAATGTCTGCATATCCGTGTGTAGGGTAGGTGATATCACACTCAAATATGTGTTAATGTGGAGACAGTTCATACATGTCTTAAGGAGGATATGACGACGTTTCAGCCTCGTCTTGGGCCATTATCAAGCAACTTGATTATCGTTTAGGGACCGAAATGTCGTTTTACACACAGAAATTACAATTTGCGTGATAGCATCAAATGAACACATTTCGGTTAAGGCAGCGTTTGGGATGCTCTCTCGGACGCAGGTTCGAATCCTCGTCATGGCTTTTGTGGAATTGTTTGTCATTTGTTTAGTCATGTGTGTGTGGGGGGGGGGGGTTGATATGAGTTCTTCAACCCCGGTATTGGCACGCCAGGGGGCCAGATTCACGAAGCAGTTACGCAAGCACTTACGAACCTGTCCATCGTTTCTCAATCTTTGGCGGCTTTGTTTACAATTATTAAACAGTTAATGAGCTCCGAAGCACCAGGAGGCTGTTTATAACAATAACAACAGTTGATTGGCAAGTTTTCATGCTTGTAAACTGTTTAATAAATGTAACCAAAGCCGTCAAGATTGAGGAAAGATGTACACATTCGTAAGTGCTTGCGTAACTGCTTTCGTAAATCTGGCCCCAGGTTCGTAAGTGCTTGCGTAAGTGCTTTCGTGAATCTGGCCTCAGGGCTTCAGTAAAGTGATGCTTGTTTACAATTGTCAGTAAACTGTAGAGTGAATGGTGATTCAGACGAGGATATATCCTTTGCTTGGATTATTTGGTCTGGAAAGAAGTTTTTAAATCGGGTCGTGGACGCAAATCAACTTGCTTGAATGGTGAAAAAGTTTCGTAAGTTGCTTGTTAAGTCCCGAATCTTGCATTAACTATCTCGACGTGATTAGGGAATTGGATTATTTCACCTCGACGGGATTAGGGGATTGGATTAACCCCATTTCGAAGCGATTGGGGGAGGTGATTTCGTAGATTACACCATCTCAGCGTGATTGGGTAGGGTGATTACGTGGATTACTCCATCTCAACGTGATTGGAGAGAGGATTCCGTGGATTACACCATCTCAGCGCGATTGGGGGAGGTGATTCCGTCGATTACACCATCTCAGCGTGATTGGAGAGGGGATTACGTGGATTACACCATCTCAGCGTGATTGGGGAGGTGATTCCTTGGATTACACCATCTCAGAGTGATTGGGGAGGGTGATTCCGGGGATTACTCCATCTCTGCGTGATTGGAGAGGGGATTCCGTGGATTACACCATCTCAGCGTGATTGGAGAGGGGATTACGTGGATTACACCATCTCAGCGTGATTGGAGAGGGGATTACGTGGATTATATCATCTCAGCGTGATTGGGAAGAGGATTATCTAATCCCCCATAAACGAAACTTACATAAAAGGAGCAAAAAAATAGGCACTATTACCTCCATATCTATTCATTGACGGAGCCAAGTTGACCCCTTACAACCTAACCTAACCTAACCTAACCTACCCTAACCTAACCTAACCTAACCTAACCTAACCTAACCTAACCTAACCTAACCTAACCTAACCTAACCTACTCATCACCAGAACAAATGAACAAATCCACAAGGGCCGTGACGAGGATTCGAACCTGCGTCCGGGAGCATCCCAGACACTGCCTTAATCGACTGAGCTACGACAGGGTAACTCATCACCACTTTCTCCTCTACTCATCTCTCACTCATCATCTCTCACTCATCATCTCTCACTCATCATCTCTCACATCATCATCTCTCACTCATCATCTCTCACTCATCATCTCTCACTCATCATCTCTCACTCATCATCTCTCACTCATCATCTCTCACATCATCATCTCTCACTCATCATCTCTCACTCATCATCTCTCACTCATCATCTCTCACTCATCATCTCTCACTCATCATCTCTCACTCATCATCTCCCCCTCACCCCTCACGCTTGGCTCCTCCTCGTCTCCTTATCTCATTGATTTTCTCTTCTCTGATCTCTTCATCTTCTTGAGTCGCTCCTCAGAGCTTAATCTTGGGAGAAAGTGTTGATCTTAGCTCCTAATGGTGTCTCTACTGGGCTCACACGTTAGGTGGAACTAGGAGATAGTTACCGTGGCCTTTGACAAGCCGCTGGCTTCCTGTCTAGCGTCCAGGCCACTAGAAATCATGACCCTCTCCTCTCTCAAGGTAAATTCAGACAAGACAAGATGGATAAATCCAAGTAATTAACCATATAAGGTAATTAACACACACAGCCTATACCTGTACACCAGTTGATTGACAGTTGAGAGGCGGGACCAAAGAGCCAGAGCTCAACCCTCCCGTCAAGCGCTTGACGGGACGAGTTTACACCCTCGTCCTCTTGTGTGTAAACATAAACATAATCAGTCTCCTTTCAACTAGGTGAGTACCGTCATTGTTGGATAAGTTGTGTCAAGTAATGAGCCGAGAGATTTGACAGAAAACTGACAGATTAACACCCTTGGCCAATTTGCTCGTAATGACGAACATAATTGACTTGACAGCTATAATTCATTAATTGTTAAACTGTTAATATATATATATATATATATATATATATATATATATATATATATATATATATATATATATATATATATATATATTATATATATATATTTGCATATAGAGAGAGAGAGAGAGAGAGAGAGAGTGAGAGAGAGGAGAGAGAGAGAGAGAGAGAGAGGAGAGAGAGAGAGAGAGAGAGAGAGAGAGAGAGAGAGAAGAGAGAGAGAGCGAGAGAGAGAGGAGAGAGAGAGTGAGAGAGATAGAGAGATTGAGAGAGAAGAGAGAGGAGAGAGAGAGAGAGAGAGAGGAGAGAGCGAGAGAGGGACGAGAGAGAGAGGAAGAGAGAGAGAGAGGAGAGAGAGAGAAGAAAGAAAGAGAGAGAGAGAAAGGGAGAGAGAGAGAAAGAGAGAGAGAGAGAAGAGAGAGAGAAGAGTGAGCTGTGGTAACAAAAGGGGTAACTAGTGCACAAATGTTCCAGAACGTAGACCACTGTGCTAACAAACATATCTGGAATCTCTCTGAGGGCCACGAGGACAATTTTATTTAGAAAATGTATTGCCTTTTGAGCCTATCTGCAGAACTCCTGACGATATGCCAACTACCAGAACCAACAGATCAATAAACCCACAAGGGCCGTGACGAGGATTCGAACTTACGTCCGAGACATTCGTGT